TTTGTTACTACATTATTATTAACTACTTAAAATCATAGCATTATCGACTAAATTTTGATTAACTTATCACTTGCTTTAATATTCTTTTTCGTTAATCTTCTATTTATATAATACAAATAAATATATATATTTTCATTATAAAATGTTATTTAATTTTAATAATATTTTAAATATTATAAGTTTATTGTTATTATTGACACTCTTTATTGTTTTTTTTTACTTGAATTCAAAGTAAAAAAATTTGCAAATTATTTGTATTCTTTTGAACATATATATATATATATATATATATGAAATGAAAGAACAAATCACATGATCATTTAATAACTTGTACAATATATATATATATATATATATATATGAAATGAAAGAACAAATCACATGATCATTTAATAACTTGTACAATATACTTTGCGTTTGTTTGTTACTACATTATTATTAACTACTTAAAATCATAACATTATCGACTAAATTTTGATTAACTTATCACTTGCTTTAATATTCTTTTTCGTTAATCTTCTATTTATATAATACAAATAAATATATATATTTTCATTATAAAATGTTATTTAATTTTAATAATATTTTAAATATTATAAGTTTATTGTTATTATTGACACTCTTTATTGTTTTTTTTTTACTTGAATTCAAAGTAAAAATATTTGCAAATTATTTGTATTCTTTTGAACATTTTTTGCACTAAGATATTTTATAAGTTTTATATTTTTGTATGTTAACGTATTAATATCTTACTTAATACTAAGTTGTGATTTTAAATTTGTCCCAAAGTACGAATAGAGATGTTTTTAATATTATCCAAAATTGCAAGTGGTATTTTCTCATGGATAATGCTAAAGAAGTTAAAAAAAATTATGAAGGCATTAGATTATTCCGATCATTGTATTACTTAACAACACTAATGGCATTCCTTCAAATATAAACACTACCTTATACCATAAGAAAAGTATATAATATTTGAAGCTTTAACTAATATAAAAATTGAATTATTCTTTGTTATGGTATTTTATTTTTAGAGAAAACGAAAAAGCAAGCGAAACTTAACTTATATATGAAAGTTATTTGTCCGCACAATAATCACGCCAAAATTGATGTGTGACTTTAACACCTACATACCAAGATCATAAAACATTATAATACAGCCATGCAAATGATTTATACAAAGACATATTCACACACACCATATATTTAATTAGTATCATTTGAATATCACATGCATTTGAATGATATATATATATATATATATATATATATATATATATATATATATATATATATATATATATTGCCAGTAAGCTAGAGTTCAAGGATCATGCCCCATTAAATATAGTATTCAATTATAAGAAAACAGAAAAAAAAGAAAAAAAAAAAGATATGAATTCAATATAACAATAGATAGTATTTTGTGCTAGGAGTCATCCTAGTAAATTTGTCAAGTCAATATTTAATACTCTTTCTATAGCCCAAAATAAATTAAAGTTATCCAACAATTACGATCGCTATAATATATAATGGAAATTAAGAATGTTTTGTTAAAATTTTTATTTCTTATACATTAAAACAATACACATGTAGACTTGTAGTTGTTTAGTCTTCACCTTCATAAATTTTAATAAATTAACAAATGTGACAGTTTTTTCATATCCAGTATTACTCTTTATTCTCTTTTTTATTTGTACTAAGTTTGAAATTACGCACAAAAATTAAAGAAATAAATTAATAAAGTGAACAAACTATCTAAATTTCAAATATATGAAATATAAATATATACATTGTCATTAATTCAAGTAGATTTGGAGTTGCTCTTTTACTCCAAGAATCCCCCAAACACGAAAATCTCACTTTTTATATTCAACGGCATAAGCAGAAAAAGATATAGAGTTTAACACTTGGATTCAAAAATTGAATCAAACACATTATATTAGAATATCTTAAGTTAAGAAATATCTAACTATCATCATATTTTTCAATGCATTAAATAATATATATATATATATATATATATATATATATATATATATATATATATTCACTTTAAGCTATGAATTAATTATGCGTCAGTAGACTTACCAAATAAATTAATGAAAATATAATCAATTACTAAAATTTTGAGTGATATATTCAAATATTTATTGCATTAAAAGATCATCAAAAAGTAGCAAAATATTGCAAAAGAAATAGATTACCAAAATTTTAGGAGAAAAAATTAGTTATTAATTTATATTACAATAAAAGATAGTCAAAATCTGCAAAAGAAATTTTAAACACTGCTTTATATAGCATTGATGCAAAATTGGAGAATTTTTTTCAGAAGTATTAGATTTGATTATGTTACTACTGAAATAACAATACAGTCACTCATATTTATCTGTATTAGATAGAAAATACCTGTGATGCTTGGACAGAGATTGAACAAAATTAATAAATTACATAAAGTTATGTATGAACAATCAAGGCTCAAGATATTTCCTCACTATCAATATTGAGATTTGAAAACATACAGTAAGTAAAGAGAAAAGAAGAGACAGATAACGTAGTGGATAGAATTAAGGATAAAATTGAGAAATTATAACTGCTTTAAATTTAAAACTATTTTAAAATTATTTATCAATTGTTAAAAAATATTAAATCTTTTTTTTAAGATGCCGACATTTGTCATTATGAGTGTATGTTGATGACATGTGTCTATTTTTATTTTAAATTTTGAATTTGTAATATTTAATTAGTAATATAATACTTAATTATTTATAATTTAAAATTCTAAAAATTTGTGGTAATGACATGTGGTGTTTTTTCTTCTCATATGATATATAGATAGATGCTAAAAGCGACCAGCAGAAGTGAACAAAAAGAAGTACATTGTACATGAAAGAAGAGATATGCAACCACTCAATTTTTTTATATTTTTTATTTTGAATTTAACTTATGTAATTTAACCATATAAATACTCATACATGTGAAGACATTATCCCCACATTATACACCAAATTATAGGCCTCTAGGTAGGACTATATGTCTCAAAGAAATTTCCTCTTGTTTGGCCTAATTAATGTGTTTGGTGTGGCTCACATCTTTACTCAATTTCTACCAAATTAATGTTGGTACCGACACAAATTTATACATGGACCAAGAAAGGCATGTAATAATATTGCTGAATTCGTGGTCCAATTAGCAATCAACACTTTGTGCAACATATATGAAACGTCAAAGTGCATGTCAGGTTCTGTTTTTTACCCACCTGAATTTTGCTCGATCTAGGCGTACACGGTTTTAAAATATCTCATTAGAGTATAAGACTTGCTTATTTATATAATTTGTATTTTGAAAATACAATTTATCGATGTGAAATTTTTTATCCTATGTTAGGGATATCACATACATCTCCTCTCATGAACTCTGTGTGCGTCCTTACAGAGCTTTGTCCCACCATATGAGATTTGCATAAATTCAATAGAACTTTGGTCCACATCGACAAGGCTGAAACATGACTTTGTTATCATTTGTAACAGTCCAACATGCTAGTGATATTGTCCGCTCTAGACCTATAGACCCACACAACTTTAAAATACGTCAATAACATGTAAAACATGTTTACTTATATACCCAATATCTCTCATGTATTTTGTTTGATGTGAAACTTCTTATCCTAATTTGATATACCACACAATGTGACTTTATTAGTATTATTTAAACTCAAAATCTATAATTAAAGAAAATACCTATTTATAAAGCCACCGTCATCTTTGTTGATTAATATTAGTTTTTCATTGATTTTTTTAAATAAGAAAGATCAATTCCATAGGTGGATACCAACTCAAATAATAGTATTCCACGTCAATCTAATTATATGCGACATCCTTCGAGTTTTAAAGCATTGTACACTAGCTTGTGAATGCCATTAATAAAAATAATAATTAAAGGGTTAAGAAATACAAGAAACAAGTTTATGTTATAAATATTGATTGTGTATTGATATGATTATTACTAAATTTATACATTTAATTAGGAACGTGTTAAGGATAAATTTGAAAATAAAGTGGAATTATCACCTTTTCAATTTTATAAAAATAATAATTATTTTGAATCAATTTTTAAGAGTTAAAACTTGTAACTAGAAAAAGCATTAAAGACTTGGGTGGTTAAGTGTCTAGACACTAATAAAGACCTTGATTAATTAATCGTTGTTGTAATCCAGCAAAGAACGACAGAAGTAAAATTAACTTGCCACTTCCTAAAATTAATGTATGGTCGTGAAATTTTAGAGAGTACATATAACTTGATGTTGTATTTTAAATTTTTTAAATTTTAATTTATTTTTCTTATTTTTAAAGTTATATTTAAATATATTCAAGCATAAACTCAGATTGTTTCAATTATTCTTTGTAAAAGTATTATCAAATACAACTTCATTTTTAACTCTAAACTTCTCGATAAAAATATTTGAAATTATGACCACACTATTAGAGTGAGTAAAAGTCCAACATTGATTGGGAAATGGACGAGTGGTCTGCTTATATGGATGTAGACAATCCTCCCCTCATAAGCTAGCTTTTGGGATTGAATTAGGTCCAAATAACATATCTTTACATGATATCAGAGTCAGATTCATCTCCGTTTGAACTCCCGACCCACACTCCAATTGAATCTGGGCGTGAGGGGGGGGGATGTTTAAGTGGGTAAAAGTCCTACACTAATTGGGGAATAGACTGGAAGTCTACTTATATGAATTTCGATACTTCTCTCCTTATAAGCTAATTTTTTATCTTGAATTAAGCTCAGATGGCATATTTTTACCGTATGCTAAATATTTATGATTTGTGAAAAACTCCTACACGTAAGATCTTAGGACTAGCTACCACATGCATGACTTTAGAGCCAGCATAATAATGTATCATCAAAATGCATTAAATTTTCAACCTACCAACCAACTACTTCTCTCACTCTTCCATTGGACATCTACTCCAAATTTCCCTCTATAAAAACACTCAACCAAAACACATTTCTTCCAATCCACTTCTTCATCATAAAACACATAACTATTATTTTACCTTCTCTTCTCTAATTTTCATAATCGTTAAGAATGGAAATGGTTAGCAAGATTGCATGCTTTGTGCTTTTGTGCATGGTAGTGGTTGCACCCCATGCAGAGGCACTAACTTGTGGTCAAGTTACATCTTCCTTGGCTTCTTGTTTCCCTTATCTGATGAACCGCGGTCCTCTCGGAGGCTGTTGTGGTGGTGTTAAGAGCCTTTTGGGTCAAGCCCAGACTACAGCAGACCGACAAACCGCATGCACTTGCCTGAAATCAGCAGCTAGTTCTTTTACAGGCCTTGATTTGGGCAAAGCTGCTAGTCTCCCTAGCACTTGTAGTGTCAACATCCCTTACAAGATCAGCCCCTCTACTGACTGCTCTAAGTATGTTATTCACCCTTTTTGACCTATAACAACAAGTAACTCTTCGTATTAAGCGTAGTATGTAAAATAAAGTAACACAAAAATGATGTGTACTAGCACATTGTCACAAAATGACGTACAAATATATGATTATACTTGGTACATTACGTTTTTATTATTATTATTATTATTATTAATGTTGGCTTTGTTCATTAATGCAGGGTTCAGTAAAGCTGATCATCAGAATTTGGTATCATGAGGAGAATTAAGAATAATATAGATGGAAATTGATCTTTGCTTGTAGATCCATTGTTTCTATGTTGTATCAGTTGTCACTTTCTGTTTTTTCTGTGTTTTTTTTTAAATCGTACGTAGTCGAGTGTTGTATGAAAATTTCACGATTGGCTATTATGTATTAATCCAATCTATCTTATTTGGTATATGTACTCTCTCGTGTATTAATTCAATATTTTTGGTTTACTTTTACTAGGGTTTTTTATTTGCATTACACGTATTTATCAAATTCGAGTAATATAGTATACATTATTGTGTGCTCATTCATCTACGTACCTCCTTTTTCTAACCACTTCTTACACGTACAATGCTAATTGATGAGAAATATATTAACATCATCACCATCACAAATGCCTATAAAAAGTATACTTTAAATAAATTCATTAAGGTACAAATTCACTATGCAATATATATTAACTTTCTCGATCCTTTCCAACTTATAAGTCCATTAATTAAAGTAAACAACGTATTAAATGTCGCAAATATTCAGGCTTTACTTAGCTTTGTCACTCTTCATCTTTTGAAAATTAGATCCGTCTATATATTCTCCGTCTCAAAAAGAACCATCTAATTTGACTTGACACAAAGTTTAAGAAAACAATTCAATCTTATGATTCTAAATTAAAGTTATGTCTGTATCAAAATAACATTTAATTTTATGGCTTTAAACATGTTACCTAAAAAACTAAAATAAAAATATTGCTAAAAATAAGAGGTTTTTAAAAGCAGATTAAAAAGGAAAGTAAGTCATTTTTTTAAAGGAGGGAATAATAAATTGAGAAGTGCTAAATTGCCAGAAAATTTGGCTAGAAAATTTAAAAAACTATAATATTTTTTTTATTTTAAAGTAAACTGATCTTTTTTTCATTTTTTAGTTAAAAGGTATTAAGGTTAAAAGGGTAAAAATATTTAAAAAGATAAAATAACACAGATAAAATATCATCCTAGCCAAATCCTAACCTAATTTTCTGGCAAAAAAGATTTTTCCTAATAAATTTTTAGGCTTACTTAGCTTTGTCACTCTTCATCTTTTGAAGATTAGATCCATATATATATTCTCGTTTCAAAAAGAACAATCTAATTTGACTTGACACAAAGTTTAAGAAAACAATTCAATCTTGTGATCCTAAATTAAAGTTATGTTTGTATCAAAACAATATTTAATTTTATGGCCTTAAACATGTTATCTAAAAAACTAAAATAAAAATATTACTAAAAATAAGAGGTTTTTAAAAGCAGATTAAAAAGAAAAGTAAGTCATTTTTTTTAAAGAAGGAGGGAATAATAAATTTACCTTATTAGCACTATTCTTCTTTCAAGTATGTTATCAAACGATTTTGTGCTTTCGTAATCTCCTCTCTCTACACAACCCATCTATCACTACACGGTACACATCTAGTGTTTAGCCTCAATTTTAAAATTTTTTTGACAAATTATTTTAAGTTTGTATTGCCATTTTATAATAAACATGTTTCGCTAAAAAATAGCCTTATAACATAATTAATATCAATTCAAAAAAAAAATAACAATATGAATAAGAGCAATACATCAATTAAATTGTTAGTAATGATAAATTATAACTCATTAAAAATAAATTGTTCTTTTTTTGGCCTCGTTCTATATATATATAGATAGTAGAGATGAGGAGTTATTAGTTATTAACGGAGTAATTTGGTAGAAAAATATTAGTTGGAATTAATAAATAATGAGTGTCTTTTATAAAATACAAAAAGTTCGGCGTGATTTTTTAAAATTCCCAAATATTAGAACTTGGCCTCAATACTATTTTTTTCTAGAATTTGAAAATTTGAGATATTTGGCAGATATATTTGCCAAATAATGATAAATTATATGGTCAAAAATCATTTCTTAATTTTTCTTGCAAATTTCCTCATGATATATTTGAAGCCAAACGGGACCACAGTACTTTAGTGCCAATTCTACAAGGTTAAAGAAAAGGCAAGTGCCTTACGACCTCCAAATTTGAAGGAAGGGAATTCACATTTTAGCAATAATAGATTTTAGTTTTTTTTTTTTTAAAAAAAAAGCAATAGCGTACTATAGAAAAAATTGAGCTTCTCATTACTTATTCATAGTAGAAGAGTCTACAACACGCATATCTTCGTCAACATGCCTGCTTGTATGACAAGGATATTTTTGGAATTTCCTACTTTTTCCTTCATTAAGCCTTTGTAATCTCTTGTTTTAAAGGTGTACCTTTTCTTTATTAGACCAAAAAACCAATTAACATTTACATAATGCCTCATATGTCCTATAAAAAATTACTACTGTTTTGTTGAACTGTGTGGGCCCAACTCATGGGCTCACTTTTCTATGTCGGCTGCCTCATTCCCTTTTTTTAATTTAAACATTTGTATAAGTAGTAGAGTTGTAATAATAATATTTTTCATTACTATTTAGTATTTTTTTGTATTAAATTTATTTCTCTTATTCTTTTTGTTGGTTATAAATTTAAAAATTATATAAATAACACATAAATCACAATAATTAACAATATAAATATTTAAAAGTTATATAAAAAAATTCGATTGACTCTTGACATTTTGTTGATACCACATAAAATGGGTTAGATAATAAATATATATTATTTGAAATTGACCTGAATATTTAAAAGTTATATAAAAATAATCGATTAACTCTTGACATTCTATTGGCACCACATAAAATGGGTTAGATGATATATATATATTATTTGAAATTGACGTAAAAAGTACTACAAAATCACAATAATTAATTAAAAAAATTATAATACATATAAAAAAATCACTTGACTCCAATAAATTTATCAATGCCACATAATTTGAGACATGGGAAGTGACATGTATTATATGAAAATTACGTTAAAAGGGTAATATAAATTACAATAATTAACATTTTAATATATTTAAAAGAGATAAAAAAAATGACCAATTTTTGAAATCCTATATATGCCACCTAAATTGAAACAAAGAGAGTAATATATATTATTTTTAAAATTAAGTAAAAAGTATAAATTATCATAATTAACAACTTAAAATATTTTAAAAATCATATAAAATTTTCTATAACTTCTCAAGTTCTATGATATCACATAAATTGAGACAAAAAATTAATATATATTGGGCCCCGTGTTGACACGGGTCCTGTATCTAGTATAGAAAGAAAGAATTATCAGAAGAAGTTTGACATATATATTTGAAATACTATGTTTCAAAAATGATTAAATGGATTGGTTATACTATTTATTGGAAAGGAATTATTAGAAAATATCAATTATGAAAGATTATTAAATGATTTGTATATCAAGAAACTAGAAAAAAAATAACTTATGAAAAAACAATTAATACCTTTTTAACTTCTTAATGATTACTGCTTATTTTGAACCTATGTATTTTTTTTAAAAAAAACCAATAAATCACTCAAAAGGGAATTGAAGAAGTATGTAAACTTTGTTATTTTTACTTGTTTATAAGAAGCTTTACAATTCCCTTAAGAAATAAAAAATAATATATATATATATATATATATATATATAGCCTCAATGAATTTGAAAAATAAAAATAGAATAAATAGTTAATAGTAATGATAAAATAAAATATATATTTTATCTTAATAAGCTAATTAAGTGGATAAATTAAAAAATATTTTTAATATTATGAATAATTAAAATGAACAGAGAAAGTCGTATTCATTGGCTGTTGTCGCAATTAATTTCTTCAGTCTCAGTCGGCTATTAGATTGGCAGTATGTGTCCATCTTATATTCGTCAAACCTCTTTCAATATTTTATTTTTTTTGTTTTTTCCGTATATTTGTGTTAAAGTTTGACTATTATCTATATTAAACTTTGATAATTTCAAATTTACATCACGTAGGGTCCCATTCTGGAGAAATTGCTTCACATCAAAGTTCTTTTCATATTTAGAATTCGAACTTGACACATTTAATTAAGAAAGGAACAATTTCATCCATAGTTACTATACCAAAAATAATCTCTAGCGACTACTAATTAACAACAATAACTTAATTGTCGCAAACTATCTTATTTTAAAGATAATTAATACTCTTTATTACATGGAAGAAGGGGTAATCAGGGACATGAGGTTTGACAAATTGGTGTATAAGATTTGATAGGTTTAGTTACAAACCGGTCCAAATTGAAAATCAAATTAAATTAATTTAATAAATAGATTTTATTTGTTTTTAATTTGATTTGAATTTAATTTTTAACAATATGAAATTCTTTTATTTGCTATAGATTTACTTATTTTGTATACTTTTTTCATGATTTTTTTTTACCAGAAACAAGCTTTTGTATTGAACATACGAAAAATACTTAATCATTTATAAATAAGTAATAAACTTTACACCTTAAAATCGTTTTTGTTAAAAAAAAAAAGGTCCTGAAACCAAGTAAACGGAGTACCAAGTAAAGAAGAAGCAAAGAGAAAAAAGTATTCTGAGTACTGGAACAATTGTCTCTATGGGATTGGTCCTAAATCGTGTATAGCGTTGTTCAATAAAAATTAGTCACGTAACAAACTAAACTTGACTTTATAGGCACCTCCCTAATTATTATGTACCCTCATTTGATTTAACTCTTAACTCCCAACTAATTCTCTCATTCTTAATTCCATTAATTTTGCTCCAAATTTCCTCTCCATAAATACCCAAAGTTGTCACTAGCTTTTGCACCCAACACTCAAAACAAATACATTTGTCCTCTACTATTTCTATCGATCTTTACTCAATTTTTGTAACAATGGAAATATTTGGCAAAATTGCATGCTTTGTGCTTTTGTGCATGGTGGTGGTTGCACCCCATGCAGAGGCACTGAGCTGCGGCCAGGTTACATCTGGCTTGGCTCCTTGCCTCCCTTATCTTCAAGGAGGGGTCCTATTGGAGGGTGCTGTGGTGGTGTTAAGGGTCTTTTGGGTGCAGCCAAGACCCCAGAAGACCGGAAGACAGCATGCACTTGCCTGAAATCGGCAGCTAATTCTATTAAGGGCATTGATACGGGAAAAGCCGCTGGTCTCCCTGGAGTTTGTGGAGTCAGCATTCCTTACAAGATCAGCCCTTCCACTGATTGCTCCCAGTACGTGATTCTCCTTATATTAATTGACAGTAAAATATTTCTTTT